CAATCCTTTTAAAATCAACGAATTTTAATAAATGGAAAAGACATCACTGAATCGGAGAGGAATTGATGGCTTGTTCTCTGAAACTCAACTTTGTCCCATTCCTTTGGATGAAACAATGTTTTAACACTTTGTTAACAATCCCTTCTCCCCTCCCTGGCCCTCATAATCCTTCAAGGATTCCTCCATGCTTTCAGAATGAAATCTATATCCCTTTCTTTGTAGACCCAACGAATTCTCCCTCCTCATCTCTAGCTACTATCTCTCACTCCCTCTCTATTCCAAGCACACACTTATCTGGCCTTGTTCCTTCTTGTCCCGCCCACCCCTGTTCCTTTACACAAAGTTATATCCAAGGCTCTGAGGCCAATGCCCTACTTTATTCAGACAGCAGATTTTCTCACCATTCAAACCTTCACTCAAACATCCCCTTCTCCAGGATTTCACCTGAATCACTAAGATGGTCTGGGTTTCTTATTTCTATCATAGCACTTATTTCCTTATATTGAAATTGTCTGTTTACTTTTCCTCTTCCTCGCCAGACAGTAGAATCCCTGAAAGATGATGTGTATTTTATCCATCTTGGGGTAGTTAGTAACTAACACAGTGCCTTGCATAGAGTAGGGACTCACTATATGTTGAATGAATAAATTAATTAATATGCAGTAGAGAGAACACAAATATACAGGAAAGTGACCATCGATCCTGCCTGACCTTTACCAGAGTTCAGAACTAACTCCAAATCAATAAAGTATTTTTTCAGTAGTCGAAGTCAAACCTAGATGCTATTTCCCTACCCATTCCTGATCTCTAGAACCTCTTTATCATTTGCAAAGCACTTTCTACATATTCACCTACATTCCGCCATTTAATCATTAATGCCACCGCAAGACCGTGTTACTCAGCTGGGATTTAATGCAACAAGCTCAGCATGTCCACATGGTGTAGTAAGAGGAGCACCGGCCTTAAGAGTCAGACAAGCTGAGGCCCAGTCCTCATTCTGCCAGTTGACTACTGGTATGTTACTGGACAGACCTCCTATCCCATCAAAATGGCAGCTCCCTCTCCCACTTTGTCACTCTTGGTGAAGGTAAAGTGTCTTTTTCATACATTGTTGTCATTATTATCCAAGTTGGCAGTTGGAGATAAGCTAAATGATCCAGAAAGAGCACAAACTTTAGGGTAAGGTGGGCCTGGCTTTGACTCCTAGCTGTATCACATAATAGGCAGGGAATTTTGTGCCAGTTAATGAACCTCCCTGAGCCAGTTTTCTCATATATAGAGAGATACTAATGATTTTCTCTTGGGTTACTGTAAAGCTTAGATGAGATAAAGAGTATAAAAACATTTATAAATTTTTTAAGTGCCATATAAAATTGCTATTATTGTTGTTCTTGTTTGGCCAGGTTTAAGAATGACTTAGAACAATGTTTCTCAAAGTGCCCTGGGTGCCACATCATCACAAGAGTATTGAATAAGTTACCCTTAAAAAGTTATTGGTAACTGCACACACTAGCTTATTAAAGGCTCTGAGAAGTCCTGCTGGAGAGAGAGTTGTTTAACTCCATTTAACCTGCCATTTTCCAATTTATTTGAATAGGGAACACATGTTAGACCTTGTGGACTATCAAGCATGAGAAAAGCAGAAATGTTCTTTCACCAGGTCTTCTCCATGGGACTCTCATGATAGATATTCAGAAACAAAAACCAAAATAGTAAAACAGTAAAAGTACTCTCTATTCTACCATCCACTGACTCACTGACTTATTGTTTGCAATATGCCTACTTGCATTTAGAAGACAACCAAATATGTACATATCATACATACACAGGAAAAATTAAGGTAGAATTTTAAGAGTGAGTCATAAATTCTGAAGGAAGAAAGCATCTAGATATAATTGATCATCAGTATGAAAACTAAAAATTGTTCTGATGGGGCATTTGAGATTCCCCCTGGCTGAACTGCCCTCTTAGTAACTTCTGGAATCATATGAAATGAACAAGAAAAAAAAGTACTTATTCATTTGCAGGCACATTTCCTTTAAAGTCATAATTGCTCTTTTCACATGGTAGCGAAAGTTCACTTCATTATTTCAAATGGCTCTTTCTCAGAATCAACTCCTGTGACCTTAAAAGCTGCCATTAATTTCCCATTAGTAAACTTTAATTAAAATGAATATGTACCATTGCTTTCAGCAGTTGCATTTGTAATTAAGTGTATAAATACATTCAAATCTTGCCCAAAATGTTTCAAATAGCTATTTCTGAACAAGCAAACACTTTGATGTTATTTCAAAGGCTTGTATCTACCAAAAGCTTTTAGAATCTTGCCCTTACCTAAAATAACTAGAATTTCATGGGAATACAAGGAAAAGTTACCAACCTAGCTAAAATCTATTTTATTGATCTTAAAAAGTAGCATGTTAAAACATGAATAATGACCTCTGAGCTTTGAACCAATCATTACCTTGGTGTTTCTGCAACCTTTGTGTATAGTGCATGGAAAAGAAAAGCTAGAAGAAGCAGAGGGATGCTCCTAATTTAAAGCATCCTAATGGCCTAAGATAACAGTCTGATACAATAATCTGAGATGAACTGCATTTCACCAGCTTATTATCTCAAAGATGCATCTGCTATGCAAAGTTCCATTCCAATATTCCACACTCGGAGAAGCTGAAACAATTCAGAATGCAACTGAATTCCATGAACTTTCTGATCCCTTTCCCATGTCCTACATTAGCCTAAAGTTTGTTTGTTCATTTGTTTAAACATACTTCATAAAGAGAAAGTGAGGCTGAGTCTTAGATCATACTTCCACCAAGTTACCCCACTAGCCTCCAAATATCTTAACTAGAGCCCAAGAACAGTTAGATAATTCAGACTTACATATGGAGCACATTATTCTGAAAATATACAAGTATCTGAAAATACTTTCAACAATACTTCCTCCCAGACAACCATGCATTAGCAGGAAAAACTTCAAAACCTCTAAGGAAAACATTGTAGAAATACTTGAGAAAGAGGGGTCATGTGTGACCACAGTTTCTCCAAGGGTTGGGTTGGTTAATGCATTTGTCGGACAGCCTGTGCTTTTCCTTCTGCATGCAACTGTCCTGAGATAACTAAATGTCATTTTTCCACTGGGAAAATGCTCGGTTTAGAAGGTCTAGTAAATACAACGATAATTAAAATTATTTTTTCAGTTCACACAATTTGATATGATATTGTTCAGAAGGTATCAATGGATAGTTCTTCAGTTAATATATTGAGAAGTGTTTGCATTATTTACATAAATGTAGACATTTTAAAGGTGATTAAAAATAAGTGATTTTCAAATCCTGCATAAAGTTTGCAAAAGTTAACAAATGGAATGCTAAGCTTCATTTTCCACATTATCAGATTAAAACTACTAATCATATGCACCTAGCCACTAAACAATTTCAGCAATTAACATAAACATTTGAGTTCTTCCTCAAACTTGAATAAGGGCATCAAGCTGTAAGTATTCATAATAGTCATTCATGGAACATAACAGCTATCACATTTAACTGATATTTCAAAGTCCTTTGAGTCCAAAACATAGAGTTTTCCAACATCAACTTGTCTGACTGCATATCATATACCCCTTTTCCAGAAAGTATCTGTTTGAAAAAAAAGTTTCACAGTTTGAAGGGTCACTGTCTATGGCAATGTTTACCCTGCTTTACAAAGCAGTGGTCCCAGGAAAGGTTGCAAAATAACCACATTTGCTCTTCTCAAGAAAAACACTACTGTTCACCACAAATAAAAGAAGTATTTAATCCCATTCCACAAATTCTCTGAGTCGTTTCCACATGGGATACCTCAGCAGAGTTAATGATTTCTAATGTCTTTATCACAAAGGTAACTACAAATGAAATTGAATTGGACACCGGCCTAGCAGCATATAGCCCCACATTGGTGCACTTATTAGGAAGTTTTCTCATTTTACTTAAACTACACACTTATTAAGTCATTGGAAACCCAAAAAGCTCTGGAAAGTTAACATCTAAGGGCTTCAATACAAAGAATTTTTGTAGGTGTAAAATATTGCTTCAAAAAGCTATTAAAAACACATAAAAGTTGGAGGAACCTATTTCTGAGAAAACTGTTTCATTATATTCCTAAATCTAGGCAGTGACTGCTCAAATGACAGCTCCCTCTGCCCAGCGAGTTTAGCCTTGTGTTCCAGTTTCTAAGTGGAAGTGATATCTGTGTAAAAAGACTTGGTAGATCAGATGACAAGCAGCAGAGCAACCAATGAAGATGCCAAGTACGATTAAAGTTTACAAGACGCACTACCCCTTTTCCAAGGGTTTTCAGTTGTGTGGGAATTCTGAATAGGGGGATAGTGCAAGATAATCAGAAAGTGCATCATAAAAGTAAGTCTGGGCCCCATAAAGTGTACTTACTCATATTTGGAGATAGATATAAATACAGATTATAGATAGAGATATAGGTATAGGTATTCTCCGAGAAAAAGACAAGCCATCTCCAATAGTGAGAATTACAAGGTGGGTACTTCGCAGCACTAAGAATTCCCATATAACTAGAATTAGCAACAGGGAACAAAAGAAGCCATCCAAATTGCAATATACACCTTTGAATTGAACATAATAAAAAAGGATTTTTAGAAGATGTGACAGGAATCCTCTCCTACTCACTGAGACGATATCACTAAAAATGGGGAGGGGGTAGCATATAAACATAGAGAAGCTAGTGAAGCAGAGTGGGAACACAGAAGGGATAGGTTGATCAAAACCACTTTGCTGCCTGTCCCTTGTTTCTCACTTCCCTCCCACCCTAGGTTGTGATCACAAATCTTAAAAATGCAAAGCCCAGTTTAAGAAAAAGAAGAAGAAAACTGAAAGAGTGTGCCTAGGGTTACTACCAGAGCAACGCTAAACAATTTCCGTGCAAAAGCAAAGCAGCGATGATGTAGTAGCAGCAGCAGAACTCCCTCTTCCCCACCCCTGATACGGTACCTCCAGATTTGCCCGAGCTGCAAGATGTGGATGAGTGACTGCAGGAGCCAGATGCAGAAGGAGCAGGACGCAGACCTGTGTTTGCCGCTGGCCCGGGTGGCCCCGCTACTGTTGCTGCCGCTGTTGGTGGCGGCGATGTTGCTCTTACTGGCGTTGGATGCTTGCCTTTGCGGCGTGGAAGGACGAGCCTCGCCTTCCGCGGCTGCAGACCCACTGCTGGCCACCGTCTTGCAATCGGCTCCAGGCTGCGGGCAGCTGGAGGCGGCTGTGGTCGTGGCGCTGTCCTCGGTGCTGAAATCGTGAACAAACCAGCGGAAGCTGAACACTTGCACCGAGAGCGAGCCGAGCACCACGAAGAAGAGCGTGAGCCCGAACCACCAGCGCTGGCCGCGCAAGTAGTAGTCCACGGCGAGCCAGATATCCGTGCCCACGTCCGCGAAGTACACGGCCACGGCGGCCAGGATCCAGAGGCAGTCCCACAGCGAGTAGCGCCGCTGCTCCCTGCCCAGGCGCAGGCACAGCGCCGCCGAGCCCGCCCCGCTGCCGCCCGGGCCGCCAACGCC